GCGTCGCGCTCGTTCTGGGAGCCGCACGGCCGAAGTCCGTGGGCACAGCAGACCCTGCTCGCAGCCAACTTGAAGTCAAGCCCCGCAGGCCAACTCCCAGTGCCCACAGCCTCGGCCAGTCCCGCACCCGCGGGGACACGCCCCGGAAGTGAGGGCTACGGACGTGCTGCGCCAGCGGAACCTAAGGGGGCGTGGCCGAGCTCTGAGTGCGCCTGCGCATTCTGCGCGCGGTCCCGAAGGAGGAGTGGGCGTGGCAAAGGGCTTAGTCCTGCTTACCTATTTCAGAGCTTACCTTGTGCCCCTTCATATCTGTTCCCAAGGCTCATTCACGTTGCCTCCTTGCCTCCGGGTCAACTTTCAACAAGCTGCTCAGGTTAGGGAGTCAGGGCTCTCTTACAGGTAAGTGTCTGTGTCAAGCCATTCGTTTATGACAAATCTTGCTTTAGAACCCGGTACTTAGACTATGTAGGATACTGCAAGCAGGAGCCATCCATGCCTCAACTGTATCTGGCAACTGCTTTCTCCCTTTCATATATAGGCAGAGAGGGGAGAGTGTCGTCATGGGAAAGTATCTTCACTATGTCATGGGCCCACAAAGTAGTAACACAAATCAGGAATATTGCATTTGGGCCAATCAAATGAATTTGGCCTCATGCATATCAAATACTAATTTATGAAGGGATGTAAACTAGTAGACAGAAGAAAACAACAGTAATGGTAACACTAAAAATGTTTCATGTTCAGCTATTCTGAGACAATGTGTAAGAACCTGATTAGCATTTCCTACGATTACATGTAAAAGGGAAACATAACATACACATTTAAAGCTGGAGAGGTGGCTCAGTGATTTAAAAACACCCAATGCTCTTCCAGAGATCCTGAGTCCCATTTCCAGCACTCACAAGGTGGCTCACAGCCACCTGTAGTGGGATCTGATTCCCTCTTCTGTTGTGCAGGCATAAATGCAGATAGAATACTTACATAAAATAAGTTTTTCAAAAGTGATAAAATGGCCGGGCAGAGGCAGTACTCTCAGTACTCAGGAGGCAGAGGCAGGTGGATCTCAGTGAGTTCGAAGCCAGCCTGGTCTACAGAGCTAGTTCCAGGACAGCCAGGGCTATACAAAAAAACCCTGTCTCAAAAAAGCAACCCCCCCAAAAAAGTTAAAATTATATAAATGTAAAAAAAATAAACCTTTAAAAAGTTAAAAATTGGGGTTGTGAAATGGCCTCCCCAGGTAAAGAAAGGAACTTGCCTAATCCTCAGGAACCACATAGTTGAAGGAGGGAGAGGAATCCAACAAGGCCTCTGATTGCCACGTAAGTGCTGTGGCATGTAAATATACATATAAACAAAATATGTGTAAAAAAGAAAAGAGTAAGAAAAAATCGTAGAGCTGGCAAGATTGCTCAGTGGATAAGGTTCTTGCCACCAAACCTGAAGATGCATGCAGGTTTGATCCCAGTACCCACAGGGTCAAACGAGAGACTGACCCCTGAAACTTGTCCTCTGCCCTCTATGTGTGCATTCGCACCCCCACACAAAGTAAGACATAATAAAAAAATTAACATAATTTAGCTTTTCACACATGATTGAAAGATTTGAATTTTGCTTTTTATTATCCCAGCAAATGTTACACTAGAGGAAATGATTGGGAAAATACAAATAGATTCATTAAAACAGACTGATTAATTGTGCTATTACATTCAGAAATATGCAAAACAGTTGTTATATTGCAAAGCTGTAATTCTTTTCTCTAGCAAAGCATTATTTTATAAAATGGTAGTGTTGCCATTGATTCCATTTTAATACAAAATACTTATATACATAATACAATATAAAAGTAAACTGGGAAGTGCCCTCCACAAAGGATATACTAAGGCACTTTACAAATATCCCAATATGTTGACCCAAATTACATTTTAGTTTAGATTAAAAAACAGACTTTCACTTTAAATACCAAAGGGATTTTTTGTTGTTGTTTATTAAAGAAAAATTTCTAAAGTACCTTGGGTAACAGCAGCAGCATATCTAAAAACTCCTCCCACTGTGTTTCTAATGTCTAACATATTATTAAGTAAGAATAAAACATTTCCACTCACAGTTTTGCACTTCTCAACAGCAGAAGGAAATAACTTTTTAAAAAAGTCAATCTCAAAGTGACTTCTTAGTCATATATTCTATAGTTTCTATTACAAATAGGAAGGGAGGACAGATACAGCAACAGGGCCTGCCTCAGGAGTCACTGAACAATACACGACAGTATGTACAATTACACAATTATAGAATGCATTTTATAAATACTATCGATACGCATTAAAGGGGCAAGCACACAAGACAGCCAAAAGGGACGGCATGGAGAAGAGTGTCTTCACCCCACTTCAGTTCAGAGTGTCAGGTTTTATGCTATTCTCATTGTTTGCTCAGAAAAGTACCAGCTTTATGCTGAAAAAACTGGATGTAGTCAGGGAATAAATAACCAATATGAGCATCCCAATATTAAAGTTGTGGATAAAATACTAAAATTTTGGATACGAATGCTTGTATACTGCCTCCAACAAACACTAGACACGCTTATACATCAGGGAAGTTTAGAAGGACACAGAATTTGTAGTGTTTACATTCTGAGGAAACATGTTGTGGAAGGGAAGAGGCAGCACCTTTATTTTCCTGCAGTGTGAACATGATGAAACTGATTTTCTACTGTATTGCACCATAATCCAGGAGTAAATCCACTAATGAAAATGTAAATCTGAGTGAGAAAGCCCAAAGAACAAGAGGGCTCTCTTATAAATGTGACCAAGTCAAAAATTCTTGGATAAGCATGTTTTGCATAGGATTTTATAGACTATTCAAATGTCCCATGATTTAAAGACTGTTTTGTGATAGCACATTCTCTTACAGGTCTCATTAGAAATCCTTCAAAAACAACAAATATTTCAGTGCCCTCAAAAATAATGTTTAAAATATGTCAGTGTTGTGCCAGCATTCATAGGGTCATCAGCTCATACTCTAGAAAACTTTCCAATGACAAATCATCATTATTTTTACAAAATGTGCTCATCTGAGTACTGTGCAATAAATTAAGTTTTCAGTTTAATGCAGTAATTTACTTATAAGAAGAGTAGGTCTTTAACTTGCTGTCTGTGAGGTTTTTGTCATATCGAGAGACCCCTGGAAGTGCATGTAACACTTTCTGTGTATGTGTTGATGTGCACTTTTTTCATGGGGCCAGGGTTCACAAAGCCTTCATTTCAAAAGAACCAGTGACCCCAAAGGCCCACCCTTACACTGCAACAAGTTTTAAATTGAACATCAAAGTGTAAGCTAATAAGCTAATGACTTTTTCTCTTTCCCGAATTCAACCAAATAACTTTGCCTTTAATTTTATTATGCATATGGTTTCAAACAAATTAAACTTTATAAGAAAGCTAGATAGGTAAATATCATTCCTGTCCACAAACATTAAGTCTGATAAAGAAATTCATGTCAATAAACCTTAAGAAAAGGAAATAATATACAAATGTTACTAAGGTCAGAATACAGCCCGATTCTTCTTCCTAAAAGATGTTACTATGCATTTTGTTATGAAGCCACAATTCTTCCTTAGAACCTAAACATTATATAAATAGGCACATTAATCTTAAATAAGTTAGGAGTTCTTTAATTTCTAAACCACTATGTATCTTCTTCTAATTAGGAATGGTCATCCCAATTAGGAGTTTATTAATAATTATCTTTTAACCAGTTAATCTACTCTTAGGTATAATAGTGCCAAATAGAAACATTTTCCTGTGCCAGTGATTTGCATTGTAGCACTGTCATGAAAGGAAATCTACAGCACTGACAACACAACAATATGGGTCACTGTACTGCAAAGGTTCCTTTGGGGAACAGGGGTGCTGGGGATTGAACCTAGGGCTTTGTGTATGTTAGGCAAGTGCTCTACCACTAAGTTATATCCCCAGCCACTGGAAAAGTACTTTCTTAGTGAGTACATACAAATAAATTCTAATCAAAGTTTTACAAACTAAAAATAATTTCTCTGATTAGGAGATGGAATTTTTCTTCTAATTTTAAGATAAAAATATTACAGACCTTAGTTTTCAGTATTTGAAAATTTGATTTATGGCAACTTGGTTCCCTTTTAAAACTGGAAGCAGCATTAATACCAATATGGAAACAAAACTAGTAGTGCTCTGACTTCTCCTTTTAAAACCAGTAATTGAGAGGAAATGCTAAGTTAAAGATTTCCATGGAGGGAAGAGGGAAACTGCATTATTTCTAGTCAACTCATTTTTTTCTGCTCTGTATTTATGATTCCAGGATATGACTTCCAGATTAGCATTAGCCTAGGTACACCTTCTAAAATGATAGCTTAATTTCTTTAGCTTATTGTGAACTAAAACCAAAGTTACAGGGAAATATGGATATGTTTCATATTTGGTTAAAGCAAGCTAAAACTGTCTTTCAAAAACTCTTGACTTTTAAAATTATTTAGCATATATACAAATAGATACCAGGCTTCTCTTTTTAAACAGAGCACTATTTTTTAAGTACTTTAAGTACCAAGAACTGACTATAATACTCAGTTCATAATTTATTTTCCTTATAACAATTTATTCTAAATTACTGAATTAAAAGGGTGGAATAAATTAATATTTTAAAAACGATTTTCCATAATTTAGGAAAATAAAATATTGTACACAGAGCACACAAACTCTGTCACATTTGCATAATCTTCTCAAAACTTAACAAAACCCTGAATTTCAGGTCTTTCTGAAAATTCTTACAATTATCTCCTAGTCTATTAAACATATACTAGATCACGGTTTTTTACATCTGAGCCTGTGTGTTGATCGTCTTCATCAGACTGTTGCTCTGAGCCTTGTGAATTAATGTATTCATATTCAATAGGCTTTGGATAATTATATGGGTAGCCATTGTCATCAAAAAACCTTCGAAAGGTAAACT